ACACAGTTAATCTGTTGCAAAAAGGACTTAGGTTATTTACGACCTTTTTCATGTTTTTTATGTGTATATAATTTAAGACTTTTTTTTATTTTAATATTCTTTATGATAGTTGATACCATGATAGAGAATCTTACCATGTTTTTATTTTTATGATATTTGTACTTGCTAATATTTTCATTCCGTTTAGATATGCATATTAGTATTTTTAGTCTTTCTCTTTCTTTTATGAATATCCCATTTCTGTTTTTTGGGACTTGTTTTCTTCAATGTTCCTTTTTGTTGTTTTGTTTCGATCTTCCTTGTGTTTGTTACCTCTATGAATGACCTCGCTCATAATCTACCAGTACTGAGCTACGTTACATTCAAGTCACATAATATATCAGTGGTGTTCTAAGTTTACTTCTTAATAATTTAGTTCACTATTATGGTACAACGTTACATGTGACTTTCGTAGCTCTTCGAAGATTTTAGCAAAAACCGAATACAACCTCAAATGGAGAGCTAATAAATTGCAGGTACGATTGGTTATCGTATAATAAAATCTTTCTTGTTGTATTAAAACGAAATTCATTCAGATATAAAAGACTTATGTTCATTTGTTTTATTCAATATAATACCTAATAAAATCTATATCTTATTATCTATTATATTACAATATTGATTCTTTTTGTTTATTTTTGCAAACAATAACTAAGAAATTTGCAGAAATTTGAGATTTCATGCATCATCTTTAGTTATATTCGAAACAGGCCTTGCAAAATCTTTGGACCAGTTTTTAAGAACAAAAAATGGAGGCAAGAAGAATTCAAAATTTATTTTTTATCATTCTATAACGTAGCGTAACCGTAACAATTTATTGCATTAAAATCAATCGATCGAAGTTTCATTTATTTTTCCGTGTATGCATATTCTAGAGATTAAGTATTACCAATATAATAAGTTTATGGAAATTAGTTCTTATAATTTTCTTTCAACACAAAAGCAAATATAAATATATCTGCATAATGCATAAACAAACAGGATTTTGGATCCCTTTAATTTCTATAGACAACTTTAAGTATTATCTAGTAAGTAAAGGTAATTGTTAAGTAGAAACCGTTAAGTAGAATAAATGTTTATAGAAAGTAAAGTTCCACTGAAAATCATAAAACATTTCCAAAATATTTGACGAAAGATAGAGTTTAGTCGAAGCATGATAAAACAATGTGTTAATCTTTGAAAGTTTTAGTTATACTGTGATAAGATGGCATTGTTCTGTCTAAATACTTTCACTTTTTTAATCTTCGAGTATCTTTGCCAAAAAGTTTGGCAATTTTGGCGGCTGAAAATATGAAAATAACAAAAGATAGTGTTGTTGATCGATGAATGTAAAAAAAACTATTTCCATGCCAAAAAAGTACACAAATTTAGTCACAGTACGTTTTGTTAATCGACAAGTTAAAACCATTGTTAGAAAAATGCAGTTACTTTTAAAAATATTACTCTAAGGGAAATTTTTTAACGGAATTAATAAATGTTTATTTCCTAAACTAAAAAATGTGAATTAGGCATCATTTTTAGTGTACACAGTGTTTTAAAATAATGTAAAATATTTAGGTGGGCGTTTCGTAATTAATTTTGGAAATTAACAACTTACTATAGATCAAAAAATGAATGTTATTTTCAAATTAATTTGCTCTTTCCAAAAGTAATAATTTGATATGACGTAATTATTGAAAAATTTAGCCAGTGGCGTCCAATTTGTGTTAGCCGCAACCCTATTTTTTAAACCTATATTAACTAATATGTATATTCAATGGAAATCAATCACATTTTTAATTGAAAATACGTAGATATTTCGGTAACCACCTCAGAAATTTCCGAAACTGTTTTCTTGTAGCATGTTTAAGTTCTTCTTCTTCTTCTTCAGCCTTCATTTATCCAATGTTGGACATAGGCCTCCTCCAATTGCTTCCACGCTTCCCTATCTTTTACAATTCTCATCCACTGCTTTTCAGCTACAGCAGTTATATCGTCTATCCATCTCTTTTTAGGTCTTCCTACGGTTTTTTTTTTGTTTCTCGAGGTCTCCAGAATGTCACTTTATGAGACCATCTGTTGGTGTCTTGTCTTGCTACATGTGCTACCCATTGCCATCTCAATGTCGCTAATGTTCCCATGATGTCGGTTACTTTAGTTCTTCGACGTATGTTTAAGTTACAATATTGTATTTATATGGGATTAAACCATTCTTGATTGTAATGACAATTATATTTTACATTTTATTTTGATGTTACGAAATTGTTTTTAAAATTTCTTTATAAATTAAGAAATTATGTTAACCAGTATTGTTTATCAATTGATACTTTGCTAATTTGACAAATAACTTAGAGCTAATTTGACAGTTAACTTACTTAAAACTCAATCTTGTAGGCAAATTGCCATGTTTTGAGTTGAAATTTTGAGAGTGATTGTAGTTAATTTTAGATGATATGTCTCTGACCTTATATTAACCCTTTAACGTTGGTTCTTTTTGCTGACTTCTACTTTCAGTATTGTAACCAGAGTCTGCTGCATTCTGTTGCTGAGTTTGCTACTCATTATGGGCTGCTTCTTTGTTTCTTTTATGACTACTGATGCATCTTTCCATTGTACTCTGTGCTCATTGTACCAGGCACGTTTGCATATCTGGGATCTCTCGAAGTCTCTGTGTTTAATATATGATTTATGTTTATTTATCCCAACACTTAGATGTCTTGAGGTTTCTAACACATAAAAATTATTGCATCTACAAGGTATTTATAAATGCAGTTTTTTATCTCTCTTGTGTGTGTTGTTTGGTTTGGTTTTGGACAGAAAAGTCTCAGTGTGTTGATTGTTGACTTATTTGTGTATTTATTTCCTATCCTTTTAAATGTTTTTGATAAGCCCTTTACATATAGTATTCTTATCTTTAAATCCTTGTGAGCATTTCTGGATTATTTTTGTCCTTTCTTCAATCTTGAAGATTCCTTCTCAATGAAATTTCTTGTTTATAAATGACAATGGATAATCATTTTTTGTTAATACCTTTGTTAACAGGTCTTTTTTCTTCCTGAAATGCGTTTTCGTCTAAGCAGGTGTTTTGGACTCTATCATATAGTATTTTGATGATTCTATTTTTGATATTTATGTTGTGGTTTGAGTGATAATTTAAATATCTGTTGGTGTTGGTTAGTTTCCTGTAAACTTTAGTTACATATCTTTTATGTGATTAACACAGAAAAGATAGTGAGTAGTTTTTTTCTTTTTCCGTGGTGATTTTGATTGATTCTTCTATACAGTTGATGTCCATCAAAAATGGATTCAGTGCTTCTGGTGCATGACACAAAAAAATACACAATAAATTTAATAAAAAAAGACTCAATAAATATAACAGTTGTCAATATTTTGTTTTTTTTTATTCTTTTTTTTTTTCTGCTAAAGAAAATTCTTAATTTAATTTTTTTCCACAAATAATGTAACATTATTGCTAATACAGTATTATTAGTGTATTTGGGATGGGGTGCATTCTTGAAATTTTTTGTATGTCTAGTAATTTGGTAATGAAAGAATCCCTTGTTATTATTGTTATATCAAATTTGTATGTCGATTGTAAATCTCCTACATACATATCATAATTGCCTTTTATGATATTTTTTATTTACCTTCATTTGTTTGTTGTGAATAGCATTTATTAGCTTAGAGAGTTTTTGAAATTAAATATTTAGCAGGTCATCAAGGGAAATAATACTTGAAATGTACATATTTTTTTAAATGGACATTTCTGTTTCTTAAAGAATTCTAATAAGTGTACTAAAAGACTGTATAAGGTAAGTGTGATTGTCTCTTTGTATTTGGTTATATAATAATTTAAAAGAAGATTAAACCTGTTTGTTATATTTTTTTATATTTTCTATTTTTTAGACGAATCCTCTAACATCTAGGATCATCTAAGTTTCCTTATCTCTCAAATCATTATAGAAAAAATTAGATGGCGTCCTTATTATTTAGTTCGGTTTTTTCATAATCTACTTTTTTTTATTACTAGTATAAAATTAATTTTTTTTTCTAGATTTTAAAGATTAAATTATTATTACATCATTGCATACGTGGCAACAGAAATATCAAAAAATTAAAAATATCATTTAGAAATAAAAAAAACAAAATAATTAAATATTGTTTTAATTATTTCGTTTTTTTTTTAACGATTTTTTTTTTGTTTTATAAATCGTAATATAATTTAGTATAATGTAAATTTTTATACTCTTGTTATAACTTCGTCACAACAACTGCCACAATAAACGCGTAGAAAATTTTTGTGTTATATAAATCGCTGATTTTTTCAAATAAAAGCGTAAATAAGTTGCCCTTGACGTGGCACTAACTGATTATCAAAAATTATATATAAAACGTAGAAACGTTAGGAACTTATAAAACTATATAGAAACGTATTACTGTATTGAACAAAAGAACACCATTAATTCCGTTAAAAAATGTTTACTTTATATTCATTTCCATGTCATGTTTACCAATATCACCAACTATAATCAAAGCTTCATAATGTGAATACGTAAACAATGCGGCACTTTTTCACCAATTTCTGTTGTTTTGTATAAAGAAGGTTCTTAGAATAAAGGATTCAGCAATTTAGAAAATATATTTACAATATATATAAGTATAAATGATTTTAATACAAAATGTAGCATGCTAAACAGAATATTCGCATTCATATTCCATGGTGAGAAAGTATTACTTAACCTCAGTGGTAGCAGTTGTAAAACATGATGAGAATATTGAAGTTATATCTACAAGCAAGCAAAGAGCAACATGACTAGCGAAAAGTAAGTTTACAGCAATTTCTAGTCCGTATTCATAAATTTATTTCAAAAATAATACTTTCTTTGCGGTAAACATACTTACTAAATTTATGTAAAAAATAACAAACTACAGAGTTAGATAATTTAAGCACAAATTTCTACAAAAGCAATTTCGCGACGTACCTGCTGCTTTTTCTGATTGATTTTATTCCTCTTTTGAACTTCTTCATTTGTTTTGTTGTTGGCATTTTGCGCAGCTAATTCCAAACGTCTCCTCTGTTCGTTTTCTTGATCCGTTGTCTATAAAATAAAAAGATATTTATAAAAATCAGATAGCATGCGTATTTAATTTCCCCATAGAAACAAAAAGTTTGCAACAACCAAAGTATTCAAATTATCCCAAAAAATAATCTCCAGTGCGTCAAATTATCAATATTCAGATATTGATGATTGTCTTCCTGTCCTACAAAACGCATTGTGATAATATGTTCCTCAAACCTAAGGAGGTGGAGATACACACTATGTTATTCTATTTTTGAGATAACCATCCACATGGGTCCACAACAGATTCAAGGCCTAAAACAGACGTCATAAACTGCAGAAGTTATAAAGGCGCAAACATTGACGCAGATCATTGCCTAGTGATCTTAACATTGAGAGCTAGAGTTTCAAACATCAGTGAAGAAAATAATGGATAGAAAAAACTGGAATGATCAAAGGCGGAGAGGTGGAACAATTGCAGAACGGTATTAGGAAAACAGCACCAACAAGCTAAGGAATCAAAATGTAAATGAAGAAGGCCAGACAGATATAGACTCGTACTGGGCCAGAATAAAGGAAGATATTAATGCAGCAACAAAAGGTGAAATAGGAACAGAAAATTGTGTTGGTGAAATTAAAGGTTTAACGATAAATTCAAGAATGCATCAAAAGAAAAAAAAAATGAAGCCTACAGAAAGATGCTTATTCGACGAACTAAAACAACTGTAGAGAATTACCGGACAAAGAGAAGAGAAGAAAAGATGATACACAAAAGAAAAAAAACGATAAGGAACTTAAGTATATAGAAAACCTCAACAGAAAGAAAGAATTCAGAACATTCTATAAGAAAGTTAACATCAATAGAAAAGAAATCAAGACAACCACAAGCAAATGCAGAAATCAAAATGGTGACCTATTAACAACAAGGACAGATGTATTAAATAGAAGGGTGGAATACTTTACCAGACACATAATATAGAGGAAGCAGAGCAAAACCTGGAAGACGAAAGAGATGAGGTACCCGAATCAGAGGAACCACCTTTAATTTTTGAAGCTAGGGGTGCAGTTAAGAGACTAGCCAGAAACAAATTACACTGAATAATTAATCACCCAGCTGAACTATATAAAGAAGGTGGTTACGATAACATATTAGCATTACAGCAGCAGAAATATAAACACAGAAATCTCTCCCCAGTGATTGAAATACTACACCATAAACAAAAAGAAGACATCCTTGAATGCTCTAACCACAGAGAAATTACACTTCTAAATGCCAAGCCAAGCTGGTTTCAGAGGTGGTAAATGGACAATTCATCAGATTGCAAGCCTGAGACAAATTTTATAAAATAAACACTGGGATATGGCATAGATATGGCATCCTACGACTCTGTAAATCGAAGAGATATGTTCAAAGCAATGAAAGAGCTTGGAATGCTTAGTTGGTAAATTTGACAAAACTAACTCTTGAAAAAGTTGAAAGTAGAGTACGAATCCAGGGAAACTGTCTGAAACTTTTAAAACAAATATCGGGCTACGCCAAGAAGTCCCTCTCTCCTTTATACTGTTCAATCTAGTTCTGGATAAGGTAAAACATATGTCACAAATCACAACCACCAGTTGAATATATAATAAATAAGTGCAAATCCTTGCCTATGTTGATGGTATCAATCTTGTTGCGAGAACGGAAAACGCTGTACGATAGGCGTATGTAGCACGAACCGCGTCAGCTACAAAAATGGGTTTAATAATAAACACCAACAAAAAGAAGTATATGAAAATAAGCACGTAACCACAAATCCTACGACCACTGCTTATAGAAAACGACATCGTCGAAGCAGTGAACGAATTTGCACAGTCAACAGATGCCATTTTGGGCTAAATCTCCTTCTTAAATTCTATCAAGAAATACAAAAGTAAAACTCTACAAAACAGTACGACCAGACCTAGTATGTATCTAGTTCAGATACCTGGACTTCATCAAAAAGTAATGAAAACATGTTAGGATGTTTCGAAAGAAAAGTACGAAGGCGAATCTATGGAGCAGTTAATGATAATGGAGTGTGGAGAAGACGATACAAATTCGAACTTTATAGAATATACCAGGAACCAGATCTTGTAAAACATATTAAGATAGGACGTCTAAGGTGGATAGGGCATTTAATGCGGATGGAACAAAATGACCTAGTTCGAAAAACGCTCTGGTCATAAGAAGAACCAGAACAAGCTTCCTTGATAACATAGATGAAGACATAAGAACAGAGAACGAGACATCAAATTTCGTACATTTATGTCACACAAAAAATTGCCGTACAAATCGGTCATCCACACGCTACGTATCTGTTCGCAATCGCATGTTAAACATGATTTTTCTTCTTAAAGTTATTTCTCCCATAGAGATTGAGTATCTTCATAGTTATGGTAACTTGGCTAACTGCTGCTCTACAGCACAGCACTTTTTTATTTCAATTCATTGTAATTTATATGGGTAAATTGTTGGTGCATAGTGGAGTATAATTTATTCCCAGCACCGCTCTGAATGGCTTGATTAAGCTTGGATATACAGTTTACTTTAATTGCTATCGACGTATCTTATTTTAACTCATTGTATTTTCAATATCCTTCTGTAACACTTTTCGACCAATTTAATTTTCTGTATTCTTTCTTCAGTGTCCAACCTTTCATTCCGTAGAGCAAGGAGAAAAATACGTAACATCTTAAAGTCCGTACTTGAGATGCATAAAAATTTTCTTTTTTGAACGCTTTATTAATTTTTAACAATATTTTCGAAATTTGGTTATTGTTATTTTAAAAACTCAGCTCTGTTTAACCTCCCACTTTTTTGGATATTCTTTGATCATTTCATTTCTTCTGATTCAAATACACTTGATCACTGCTGTCTATATTTTTAATTTTTAGTAGTGCCATTAGTATTTTTCCTCGATTGCAGTTTCGAAATCAATGAAAAATAATAAATATATTTAGATCTAAGCGTCTCTGATAAAACATTTTAATAGCAAAAAGTGTTTCCCTAAGTCCAATTCCTTTAGGGACTCTTTTAATAATAATTTATAGTATTTTATGAATAACTTTCAGAATTGTCCTATTAGAGTTATTATAAAACTGAAAAACAATCAGTCCTGTGAAACTACTCTCATTATATATACTTCAATGAAAAGGTTTAGAAGTGGGAATGTTTCAAAACTTCAAAAAAAAAAAGAATCCTAAAAACATTAACTATTTTAATTTCATACTGAATTCGATATCAAGTATTAAAAACGACTTTTAGAAGAAAAACAGTAAATATTCCAACTATTTGACTAATGCAAAAACTAGTTTGACTCTGTCTTGCTATGAGAACGCACTGCAGACAATTAAATGTTTTCAGTAATGTCGGATTTTAAAGTTTCGCTGTAGATTGACGTCACCAAATGAATTGTCCACTTGAGTAAGTATTATTTAAAAATGCCATCTTGTTTTTTAAACTTTTTGGCATATTTTTCGTTCTCTCGATTCGTGATTTACGTTCACAAGCATCTTTCATATTTTTTCCTATTGTCTGTACTTACTTTATTTTATTTAATCCCTTATATTTACTTCTCGTCGATCGGATAGCCAAGCGGGCTGGGCGGCTGGCTTCTCGTTCGCTTCAATGCGAGAGATGTCAGTTCAAATCCCCAGCTCGGTGTACAGAAAACAAAAAGGCTAACGCAGCAGTTTAAAATTCCAAATGAATCTGCGGCTTAGTCTAGAATATGTCGGTGTCTGATCGGCCTATGGTGGAGCAGTACGGCAAGAGATAAGGGCTTGCGGTTCGGTGATACTCCTTCATAGATCCCTACCGGATATATATATATATATATATATATATATATATATATATATATATATATATATATATATATATATATATATATATATATATATATATATATTTCCTTGTTTCTGGCAGGTAATCATTTACTGTTTTTTTAACTTGTTTTCAGTTTACTTTTGCTTACTCCAGTAATGTTTTCTGAATATTGATTCATTTGACGCCAACGCAAACATTTTATCTGTATTGTTTTCTGTATTCCCGCATCAACAGAACACTGCGTAACGCCACTGAAAGCCAAACCGTTAGAAGAAGAAGAAGATTTCAAATGACTGGCTTAAGAGCAAGAAGACGTTTATCTCATCCGGTACTAACCAGGGAACATCGCGTATTAAAAAGACTATGGGCTTAAGAACACCGCAACTGGATAATCAACGAATGGAAACACTGTTTATTTACAGATGAGTCTAGATTTCGTATAACCAATTACGATGGTCATTTTTGGTTTGTATGGAACGAGGAGAAAGGTATAATGAACATTATAGTATGCCTACAACTGCGTTAGGGAGAGGCTCTATTTGCGTTTGGGGTGGTATTTGATTTGATGGCCGCATCGACGTGGTTCTGGCAAATGCTACGATGGACAGAGATATGATTGTTATTATTGTAACATTTTCGGGGTGCAATCGGAGAAAGTTTTATTCTTATTTACGATAATGTTCGTTCTCACCGAGCAAGAATTGTGAACGAAAGATTACAGCATCACGGTATTGATAGAATAGAGTGGCCATTCCGGTCACGAGATATGAACTGAATAGAACATGTCTGAGCCACTATGATATGACACATAAATGTTTTAGATAACTTTGTGAATACGCTTCAACAGTTAAGTGGAGCTGTGAAAAATATATGGACAACCTTGAAACAAATTTTTGTGAATGCATTAATTGAGAGTATGCCTAATCGAGTAAGAAATTTAGTTCGTTCTAGCTAGGAAATGTAATTAAGCTAAAGGAATGATTTAAAAATGTTGACGTAATTAATTTAGTATATAAACATAATAATCGATATTTTAAATTAAATTAGGTTTAAAAAATACCTTACCTTAAATGCTTTGACAAATCTCACCAACAACGAAAAGAATGTATTTGCATCCGTGGTTCTTGGAGATTCTGCGAAGTACTCGACACACTCCCTGAAAGCCTCCTGCGCCATTTTGGCGTCGCTCTTCAGTCTTCTAAGTTTATCTTCTGCATTGGCAAGGAAATCTCTAACGACTAGACTATGACTACCTCTACCCCGAATTTCTGCCTCTTTTCGAACAGCTTCCATGCCCTTTTCCAGTTCATTGACATCTGTGTTGATGTTTTCCAGAGAAACTGAGAATTAAAAGAATTTTAATGAGGAGTAAAAATAATTGTAGATAATTATAAAGTAATTTGAGTATATTTTTTGAATATTTTTATCGAGGATAGAAAAAACAGAAAGTAATAACTAATAAGAGTACTACTAGGAAAGTACTGTTAATTTCAATCCTTTTTTTCTTCCTATTTCTTTTTTCACAGCTTTTCAATAACTTTGTTACTTTTTCATTGCCGACAATAATTTTCTAGAATGTTAGAATATCGAAATATTTTAAAGCTAATAAATATTAATTGGATAAATTCGAGCTAATAGATGTTATTATAATATTGACAATATAATACGTTAGCGTATTAATAGTACAAGTTAAGTAAGAAGTAATCCAAGTTGGATGTAATTCTGAATCCAGAGTAATTGTAGTCGAGTAGTGAGATGTAATTTAAAACGCTCGGGTTGGGTATCCGTATACTATGTATTGCATAATAGTCTATTTTTTTGCTACACAGTCGCAATCGGGGCTCTGGCACATTTTACCTAAGTAAAGACTGGCTCCTAGCTCTGCATCTGTCGTGACCTGCCCGGAATCTATTTAACGTGATCCACAGTTTGCAAAGAAGTTAGAATCCAAGCGGAAGGACCTAGTAGTCCAGTAAAGCATGCTGCTCGGTATTGGCTAAGTTGCCCAAGTATATTTGATTATTTAAACAAATTTGATTATCAAAAAGAGAGCCTTCTATTTAATATTAGATGTAATTTGGAACAACAGAAAGGAAAATAATAGGTATTTCCTATATTTAAAATGGATTCGACAATAATAGCAATAAAATATAGTAGAATAAAATAGTGATAGTTTAACATAGTACAAAACGTTGTGTTCTGTCGATTATCCTACTATCTTAAACAGAGGAAAGCAGGTGTACAACGTATTTTACCTATTATTGTCAGGTAAATTAATACAACATGCCAGTGCTTTGGGTTTTCTGTTAGAACTTAAATTAATAAACAATTTCTAATAACTTACCTACTGCTGCTTTCTCTATATAATGAAGCTCGCTATCGAAATTTAGAAGTTCCGGGAATTTTTGCCGTATGGTGGCAACAATGTAATGTAAAAGGCACAAGCGTTTATCAGTCGACTTAGTATCCAACAAAGTATCCAATGATTGGAGTTTAAAACCATAAGCTGGTCCACGTTTACTACTATTTAGGTAGTTGCCAAAGGCAAGAATTATTTCTAACACAGATCTGAGTTTCTTTGAGTTTTTCACGGAATTCGAGCCTGATATTATTGCATGCATTTGCTAAAATGTAAGTAGAAGTAACAATTAATATTAAATATAATCATATTTACAATAATACAGAGTTTGATCAACCAATGTAAATATTTAGCAGATTAGAGAACCATTAGATAAAATCCAAAAAAATAGGTCATCCCGCTTTCTGTTTCATAAAATTCCGTTCGTTGTTACTCATGCTTTAAATATCATCTACTTTAAACTATAGCCAACTAAACTCCAAGAAATTACCAAACTATGATAAAGTTCTTTTAGGGTACGATAGCCTCCGTCACTCTCAGTCTGTTCTTTTTACTTTCAAAACCAAGTAGTACAACAGATACACAGACACCCAATACGAACAATAATCACATTATGCGAAAAACCATACGGATATATTTTCGAGATAACTTAGGATCAATAAAATTTTCTTAGATGTACATAGAAATAAGGCAACTCGATTTTTAGCAGACCTGTAAGCGGGCTCATCACAGTACGATACCGTCTTGCACAAGAAGGCAATGAATGAGAACATCTTCTTCAAGGGATGCCAGTACTGCTGGAACCACTATAGAGAATTGCCATTAGATAGAAACCAGCGGCTAATCAAGAACTCCTAAGTGAAACTAAAACCACTAAATAGGAAATTAAATTTGACCACATACCTAAGGAATATTAATTACTTGAAGGTTTAAGAAAAAATATATACCGAAATAAACCTTTCTTGATTTGACTACAAAATCATATGACAATGAGAAACCGCATATTGTGAAGTTGACATAATAATCTAGTAAAAATATAAGGATGCCATATCCGATATATCATATGTATGTGAACGACAGAATCGTTAAAGTAGATATTAAGCTGAATAAAATTGTTTTCCATTTAATCGGTGTATATGTTCTAGAAGTACAACAATTATAAAAGAAACAACAGGGGTCTTCTATGACGAACAGTTTTTATGACGAACTACGAAATATAAAAAACAAAACGAAGGATTCACATAAAATTATTTTGCAGCAGATTTGACTGCTAAGATACACAATCATAAAATATCTAAACTTACAATGATTCCTTTATAGATAAAAAATCTATAATAAATTACATAATTAAAAAGAAAATATTCTCCACATGCGTCTAGATGTTAGAACACCAATCTCAGTCAACATTGGTACACATCATAGACTCTTTATGTCTAAAATAGTTTTAGACAAAACCCACAAACTTTAAAGACAAGCCGATGTACAGTAGATAGAGAAGCGAATTACGAGACATCTAAGAAATACAGCTACGACAACAAGTCATAGGAAGAAGAAAAGTGAACATCAATTCCCAAATCGAATGAACATTATGGTTCAAAATAAAAGTCAAAATTGAGACAGCCTCAAACATTCATATTTAATTTAATTATGGATAAAATAATAGAAGTTTCCTCCCTGAACATTGGATACAATCTACAGAAAAGCTCGGTAAGCATGATTTATTATACAGATTATACAATTATAAGTGCTGTAACTAGATAAACGAGTGTACCAGATTGCTGAAAAATGCACTCATGGACAAAAATATCGAATACTTTGGAATCTTCTAATTTTTATTTTTTCAAAATAAATTCTGGACAATCAAGTGGTTTATTGAGAAATGGAGATTATTTTAACAATGTTTAATGAACAATTTATTATGCCTAATATTAAATAAATAAAGTTATTTTAGTTTAAACTTAAATGCTAATTTAAATTGCTTAAACAAGTCTTTTTAATTAAAATAAGTACTGCTTGCATCCTTCTCGGTATGCTTGCAAGTAAATTTTGGATATATCCTTGGAAAATTCCATTCGATTTATCCTGTGTGGCATTTGGAATGATATTTCTTTGTCGTATGTGGCGTTTTAGTTGATCCCACATGTGCTCTATTGGATTTAAATCAGGGCCAAACAGTTGCCAATCCAATATTCGAATTTGAACCTCATCAAGATAATTATTCAGTATGGCAGCGGCATGTGGTAGAGCGTTATCGTGCATTAACAGGAATTTTTCATATCCAATGTTACCAACAAATCGCAAAACATGATCTTGCAGGATGTTTTAAACGTAACGTAAAAGTCACCAGTTATCAATCCAATCACTTCCACAAGTGCGGTGCGTACCTTACAACTAATACCTGTCCAAAGAATTATGCCCTCACCTCCAAAACTAACAGACTGTGCGAGATTGCAGCTGGCGAATCGTTCTTCAACTCTTGGTTGACGTGGTTTTGACCATCTAGCTTCCATAGTAGGATTCTGGTCTCATCAGTGAAAAGAACATTTTTCCAGTTGTCCATATTCCACTGAATATGTGTTCTTGCAAATTTTAAACGGCGAGCTTTATGATTTTGGAGAAGACGTGGAACTTTGATCATCTCCAGAAACTTGGATGCACTTGAAAACTCCACCATAACACTGAATACTAAATCCATTGAAAGAGTGAGTAAATTTAAATACCTGGGATCGTGGCTTTTTGAAGACTGGGCATCGGACAGGGAAGTAAAATGTCGCATTGAGCAAGCTCGACAAGCTTTCGTAAAATTCAAGAAGGTACTTACTTGTTCAGAGTTCGATCTTCAACTGAGACTAAGGTTTACTAAGTGCTACGTATGGTCAGTGCTGCTATATGGCGTAGAGGGCTGTACACTCAAAACGAGGGATATAAACAGATTAGAAGCTTTCGAAATGTGGCTTTATCGCCGTATCCTAAAAATACCATGGACAGCGAAAATCACAAATATAGATGTCCTTAAAAGAATAAACTAAGAACGCCAACTTTTCGAAACCATCAAGAAAAGGAAAACGGCGTATCTAGGTCACATCATGCGAAATGAAAAATACCAGTTCCTCCAACTTATAATCGAGGGTAAAATTGAAGGCAAGAGAGGAATGGGACGCAAGAAAATGTCCTGGCTCCGAAACATAAGGCAATGAACAGGGATTAACGACATACAATCTCTGATACATATTGCAAGAAATAGAGAATTAATGGAAAATGTGATCGCTAACATCCATTAGTGGATTTGCATCTGAAGAAGAAGAAGAAGTGGAACTTTGGCGGGGCATATGATCTTTAAGTTTGCCTCTTTTAATCTCCGTCTAACTCTTTCTGAACTTACATTAACTTGTCTAAAAGTTAATAGCTCATTTCTGAGGTGCAGCGCTGTCAGTGAACGATTTAGTGTAGAAATAAGAAGCAAAAAAGGGCCATCAAGTGCGACTGTGCAACTTGGGTGTCCTTGAACAGGTCTTCGTACGAAATTTCCTGTTTTGCGGTATGTTTTTCAGTATTCAAAACTAGATTGACTTTTCCTGAGACGTCGCGTCGTGCGATGCGAGATCTTTTTGTGCATATCATTCCTCGTACAATATTACCATCTGTGCTACTTGGGATTCATCGCAGTATCGAATTGGAGGCATACCAATTTTAAACTTAGTTAAATCAAAACAATATTTAATTAAACTCAATAAATTAAACTAAAAATAACCGAATTAGTATGATTTTTCCTATATATGAAGAAGGTTTTTTATAATAAAATGTACGAATGACACTACACGCTGAATAAACGTCAAACTTAAGGTCAAAATATTTCAAACCAGTTGAATATATCAGCCTACTATATAAGTGTCATCAGTAATCTAAAATTATTTTGAAATGTAGAGACTACCAAAAAAAATTGAAAAATTACAAAATATTTGATACTTTTGTCCATGAGTGTAGAACATGTTCAATCAAAGGTCAAATCAAGAGTATCAGATTTACTAAATATTCTGTGCTATGTAAAATTGTAATTGATTGCAAAATCGTTGAAAAGTAATGCAGTTCAAATACTTGAGTGTGTACACGTCTAGCAGTAATAATTTCGAAAGCGAAATCAAACGTCAAATAAATAAAACTGCAGCTGAGAGAAATGGCCTTGAGAAATAAATATATGATAAACGAGAGTATGTTAAAAATATAGAAAACATGTATGTATATAAACATATTCGGTATCTAGACTTTAAATACTTGAAGAGATAAAGACTTTAAGAATGATAGTGAAAAAAAAATGATAATAGAAGAAATCTTAAATACATGCAGAAGGGTCAATATAACATATGAAGGAGACAACAACGTTATTTCTGGTATGCCAATAGTACTTGCAAACAAACCCTCTAACCGTCGACTATTATGAAGAAATCTTAAAATTTGGAGAGATAACTGATAATCTACATCACACAAAGCATGTTTCAAAGAATAGAAGATCATAGATCTAAATGAAAAGCCGCAGGTTGCCTGAATCAAACAATATGCGGAAATAAAACATCGGGAAAGATATAAAGGGCAGAATTTTCAACGACAAAAAAATGTTAGAATTAGAAACATCAGAGATGGAAACACATGAAAAATTGATGGTAAGCCACTCTGGGACAGAGCTAGAAGTACAGATATACGACGTAGATGCACGATGGGGAACATCAAGGACTGGGCACAGAATAATAAACAATCAGAATGCCCACTCTGTGCTGTTCAGTGATATTTTATCTGGTGTGCATAGAAAAATTAACCCGGTTTAATTTATTTACGGAAACCATAAACACAATCTGCAATATTTTATTCGTACTTTTAGTTGAAGAATAGATCAAAATTATTTTAAATTTACTAAATTATTAATCTTTAAAAATATAAATTACTGTTCTGTGGTAGCTTGTCACAAATTTCTCAATCCGAGTCTGTGGTTCCGTTTAAAATATGGCAATCGCGTGCTGACACACTTCAAAGGCGGCATCTGAGAGTAGGCATTCTGATTGTTATTTATTCTGTGGACTGGGTAAGAAATGGAAGAGTACGAAAATGAAGACCACGAAAACGATGGAAAGAGTTACTGGAGTTATGTCTACATAAAAACAAGAAGAAAAAGATCTAAACGAAGAAGAAGATGTGATTATTATACAAAAGTACAACATATAAAATAAATTACAAGAAAACAAATCATGCAAAAATTCTGTACAGTATCGGCAAAACTTTAAGATGAGTTCCACAAGGAAACTAAATTCCCGTAGTTGGCTTTATACCATGTATCACAAAAATTTTTATTAAAAAAATTTCCTTTATAAAAGGTATATTAAGAAATTAAGGTGAGTAGTGAGAATACGTAAAAATGAGAGAAACCTGCAAATATTAAAGTGAAATCGCAGTTTCTAAAATTAGGAATTCCTTCATAAATAAGAAATATACTGTTGCCAAAAGTGATATTATCCTCTTAGTTATAACTACTAAGCCCAAAAAGTGTGTTTTTGATCAGATTTACTAACAAAACGTAAACATATTATATAAAACAGCTATTTTCAAAAATGTTTGTAATATTATGAATAGTTTTAATCACACTTTTAAATTTAAATGGCAAGTAAGAGTTACTTCGACATTATAGATAGCTATAGAAGTTTACTAATAATACAGGTCTCGTATAAGTCGATTTAAAGTAGCTTAAACAATTAGACTCTTTTAAATCTATAGTGCTGAAACCTTCTTTAATAATTTTGTCTAACGTAATATTTCTTTTAATATTTTAATTAAAATGTTGTCAAATTAACTGTGATATTATTTTACATGTGATTAAACCACCATGATTGTAATGAGAATTATGTTTTATATTTTTTGACTTTGACGTTAAGAAGAATCCATAAGTAAATGAATTTATAATATTGATGCAAAATAAAAAAAATGTGGTGGTCAAAAAAAATATTTGCTACAATATGTGATAAAGACTAACTGTTTTAAATTGTTATAATTTATGCTTTGAACTTACAGGTGTAACAAGATGTAGATTATCATAAAAGTTGCCTATATAACTCATAATAGACAATTTCGCTGATATCCTTTCGACTTTGGTTAATTGAAGTAAGAACTTATCTTCATCTGTTAACATATTCACGTTCTTCTTTTCGAACTGATACTCTCTGTACGCTTTAGTTTCTTGTTCGGTGGGCACCATCCTCTGAAGAAGTTCTACGTTTTCTAAGGACAGTTGTTTCAGATCTAGCATATTTATTGCGTTTATTACTTTGTCGGGTGTCATTTCCAGTTTTCGCCTAGATATTGCTAAAATGTAAAACAAATATAAAAATATTAATTGAAAATCACTTTTGGAATATTCAATCAACGCTACTATAGAAAAATTATTACGAAGATCATACAGATTAACTAAAGAACATTATTTTTCTCGGCCCTGAACGATTAACAACGAAAAACAAACAACAAGTTGCCCAAAAATAATACAGTCGTCATGTAAACTTCGTAAGGAAATGTCCGACAAACAAGAGCTTGCGACCAGTTGAGTGTGCTAAAAATAATTAGATGTTGTCCCTATTTTAAGTAAAAATCAATCTTATATCTACTTATTCAACCTCTTAATTGTTCCAAGTCGCGGTGTTGCCATCACGTGTCGCGAGTGCATAGAAAACGATTTGCCGATCTAATAACGGTTTGAATATCACATAAACCTTTACTGTTCTTAACTATAAACAATAAACTTATAACTGATATTTTCTAAAGTGCTATAGTCTATTATTCCTTTTATTAATAAAGATACATTTTGACTAATCTTAATTAAGACTTTTACCAATTTAATGTTTACCCCTATCCCTTGTCAAGGAAACAACCTTTCAGGTGCTGGATTCCCCAGCTGGTCCTTCGGAGCTAAGGAGTACCTCAGAAGCTTTTGTGCAGTAAGAAAAAATCTTCCATCGAACCAGCAAAGTTCGCTACTGCGAACTCCTTATTCGTACACTGACCTCTGGTGTATTTTTTGTTTAACAAATAATCCAAACATCTTCGAACAAACAAAAACATTAATATAAATAACAAAACGAAAATTAGAGTCGATAATGATTTATTATAGATGTCCAATACTCTTTAACTTAGTAATGGATAAAATTATTAAAGAAATTAAAAAGGCAGGATAGGGATACAAACTGGAGAGAAAACCAATAAAAATCCTTCGTTATGCAGACAACGCAGTACTGCTCTCATATAACGAAGATCAACTATAACGAATAATATAAACGTTTAATTAAAACAGGGGCTGAGACGACATCTGTACTGGTAGCAAGAGAACCCAAAAAATGCAAAATTGTAAATAACGACGAAATAATCGAATAAGTCTTGAGATTCTTCTTTTTCTTCATGTACCATGTCCTTTCATAACGTTGGTTACCATCATAGCTATCCTAATTTTATTCACTGCCACCCTAAATAGCATGCTTGTATCAACGCCATACCAATCTCGCAAGTTCTTCAACCATGAGGTTCTTCTTCGTCCTGGACTGCGTTTGTCCGCTATTTTTCCTTGCATGATATTTTGTAGCAACCTATATTTTTGACCTCTCATTACATGTCCGAAATACTCCAGCTGTCTCTGCTTGATGCTTTTTATGATCTCAGTAGTGTTGCTGAGACTTTCTAGTATTGTGGAGTTTGGAATCTTCTCCACCCAGGAAACTTTTAAAATTCTTCTGTAGCACCACATTTCGAAAGCATCAAGGTGATTTAGATCGATTTTATTCACAGTCCAGGACTCGACAGCATAAAGTAAGACCGAGAACACGTAGCAGCGAAGTAGGCGGATCCTTAATGCCAATTTTAGGTCTGTGTTACATAACACATTGGACATCCTTCTAAAAGCAGCTCTAGCCTGCTCTATCCTGGATCTAATTTCGCCGTGACTTTCTGTGTTACAATTTAATTGCTGTCCAAGGTAAACGATTTTATCAACTTGCTCAAGTTTGTTATTATTTTCATATATAGACGGTTTTATATGCTGTTGTTTACTTATTACGAGTATTTTGGTTTTTCTTATGTTAAGATCCAGACCCGCCTCCCTACAGCTCTCAACGACACTATCAAGTAGTGTTTGCAGATCTTGACTAGAAGCTAGGAGTACTGTATCGTCCGTATATCGCAAATTATTGATGACTTCGCCGTCCACAAGTATTCCTTCTTGTTTTTCAGAAAGTGCTTTTCTGAAAATTCTTTCGGAGTAAACGTTAAAAAGCAGGGGTGACAAGAGGAATCCCTGCCGTACTCCTCTTTTAATATTGAGGGCCTGTGATTCCACACCATCTACTAAAACTGATGTTGTTGGATTTCAATATAAATTAGCAATTATTCGAACATCTCTGCCATCCAAGCCAATGTCTTTTAGAGCTTCGATCAATATAGAGTGCTTAACACGATCAAATGCCTTTTAGGGAAGTTAATAAAACAACAATATATGTCTAAAGATATATCACGACATCTTTGAGCAAGTACGTTCAGTCCAAACAGTGCCTCTCTCGTTCCAAACCCGTTACGGAAACCAAACTGAGTGTCATCCAGGTATTCCTCACATTTATTGTAGATACGACCATGTATTACCTTCAGAAATATTTTCAATTAGTGGTTTAACAAACTGATGGTTCTATAATCAGCCCAGATTTTTGCTGTTGTCTTCTTAGGTAGAGCTATAAACAGTGAATTAGATCAACCATTAGGTAGTTGTCCGCTGGTATAAATGGTATAGAAAAACGAAGTTATAGCCTGTAAAACATTGCTCTAATTTATAAGCTTATATATTTCAGTTTTAATTTCATCAGGACCAGTCGCTCTGCCATCTTTTGATGGTTTGTATGGCTTTTATAACCTCAGAGCGTGTTATTAAGGGTCCGTCGCAGTTAGTAATATCGGGAGGTGAACTACTCCTATCGTCTTCGAATAGGTTCGTGGCGTAATTTTCCCATTCTTTAAGTTTGTTCTCTACTTCGAATATTACTTTACCATTTTCATCCTGCAGCAATGCAGTTTGTTTCTTATTGAAGATACCAGCCGCTTCTTTTACCTTTTTATACATATTAAACGTGTCGTATCTCTTTTCAAGTTCTTCAATGTCGTGACACTGTTTGGCTATTGAATTATCAACATATCAATCAATCATATTAAATATTGGCCAAAGTCTTTGATGCAATATCGAGTGTATTATTTTGTGGGATAACCCATTCATTTAAACCAAAAAATATTCTTAAACAAAGTTATAGTGGATCTCCTAATTTTCATTTTTTTTTCAAACCCATATTCTAGCACTTATTAATATTGGGGTTAGTCCGTTATTGCACTCATAGCCTCAATTATAATACAGCTAATAACCCAAAGTGGCTGATGCTGTTATCAATTAAAAAAAATAAAGTTAATATATTAAAAACATGTGTTGGTTCGCACAGTTAGTTAACATGAATTTCTATTAACAGCTAATATCGCAGATCGTTAGTTATCAGTAAAGGAATATTTGTTTTCAGAGTAAAAAGCTTGTACAAATACAGGTTTCCTGTTTAGTTAATGTTTCAGTGATTACTTTCTTAAAATTTCCGTGAAATATGCAGTTAATGACATATAACATACATACATACATACATATTATACAATTTTAAATCTTAATATATAATACAACGCCATTTGCTTACCTATATTTCTTAACCTAGTGTGTTCTAATAAAGTGATATGTTCTGGTTTCTTTCCTCTCTTACTGGGGAATGTGTGTAGTCCATCCGTTTCATTTACACCGTTCGACATAATATTTGTACTTCCAATCTTAAATCTAAAATTGTATAGTTTTAATTATAATCTAAAGAAATATTGAAGTTTATTCATATGTAGTTTATTCGTGTTAAAAGACGGAAAAACTGTACTTAATGTAAGATGTAACAAAAATGACGGACAAGAACATTTTTTAAATTTAAATCTGGATGAATATATTTTAAAATAAAATCATTGACCACCTTAATTGTAATTATACTAACTAAAAAAGCTCTATGCAGAGGAAGAACAATCGACGCTAGAACCGGAAACACCAGAAATTACCACAAATGAAGAACTTAATATAAATGTAAGAGTTCGAAAAATACTTGAAAACCTGAAGAACAGAAAAGCAGCAGGTAAAGACGGGATACCAAACGAATTACTGAAATATTGTGGAGCAACAATGATAGAACAATTAACAACACCATTTAATAAAATTATAAAACATAATAAAATACCGAAAGAATGGAGAATGAGCGAACTAAATCTACTATCCAAAAAACAAATTACGCACTACAACTAAAATTTTACTTGTGCTAATAAATCAGTTTAGCAGATGAACAACAGGGTTTTCGTAGTGGAAGATCGCGTAGAGACGCAATATTTGTTATAAAGCAAATTACTGAGAAATCACTAGAGTATAATAGATCAGTATTTCTGTGTCTGATTTCCTTAAAGAAAGAGTTTGACAGAGTAAGACTCAAAGATGTAATACATCTTCTGTATAATAGGAAAGTTCCCCTAAATATTATAAAAACTATCGAAAACATTTACCAAAACAACAAAATAGAAGTCAGAATAGATGGACAACTTACAGAACCTATAGAAATAGGCAGCGGAACAAGACAAGAGGATTCATTGAACATAAGAGCAAAAGAATTTAATATGACAATCTCATCACAGAAGACTAAAACAATAGTAACAATAAAACAAAAACTTCCACAAAATTTATTATAAACTCTTATCAGTAATAAAAGTTTATAATAAATTTTGTTAAAGTTTTGAAAAAAAGTTTTCAGTGTTTTATTGTTACATAAAATGAATTTCCATCAGGTAACGGTCGAATCCATCAATTATTTAAAACAATAGTAGTCAGCAAAGAACCAACCGGATGTAAAATAGAAATTGATGGCATCAGTATTGAACTACAAGTGGAAATAAAATACCTGAAATTACACTGTCTAGGGAGACCTGGACAAAAAAGTGAGTTTTCAAGTAAAAAAAGCAAATAGACTGGCAGGATGCCTTATTAACACTATATGGCCAAACAGACACATTAACACTGAGATGAAGTCAATAATTTATAAAGTTATAAAGCCAGTGTAAGAGCCATAATGACATATATCTCAGAAACAAGACCCGACACAGCCACAACGCAAAGGCTACTGGAAACTGCAGAGATGAGAGTACTGAGAAGAATTACAGGAAATGCGCCAAGAGATCGAAAGAGAAGTGAAGACATTAGAAGGAAATGTAACGAACAGTGTATAAATGAATGGACACAAAATAGAAAAAAAAATGAAATAACCACATAAGCAGAATGGAGGAGACCTGTGTCGTCAAAATAGCAAGAGATAAGTCACCAATCGGCAGAAGAAGTATTGGACGACCGCGCAAAAGATAGAGTGATAACCTTCCATAGAGGTATTAATCCGCCAACAAACAAGCAACATTGCTTATAAAGAGGAAGAAAAAGAAGATCAAACAAACCACAATAGTCAAGCTTAAAGAAATTTTAAATGTGGAATAAATGCAGGAAGTAATATAAATTTTGCGAATGATGTCATTTACAATGTATAATATAAAAGCATTTTGTGGAGCGCTTTAAAAAAGTTAATACTAAACACGGTACTACGCTATAACTACGACGTATGTACTATAAATAAAACATTATTGATGTGGTCGAACTATAGTGATTAATATAACAATATGTGGAAGTGGTATGGCCTTAGTATGTAATTTTTTCAATCAATCAATCCGTCTATTTATTTTTCACTTACACTTACAGACCCACAGAAATTTTTAAAATGATCATAAAATTGATACGCAATAATTTACCTTTCTTCAAAGTCGTTAAAGTCAATACAAGAATGCAATCTATCATCATCCAATTCATTAAATATTGTCCCTCTGACTTGGTTTGGTTTCAGGGCTATCCAATTGACAGTCGGTAGCTTGTATTTAGTCTGAACTTTCCTTTTAATAGTCATCGCTCCATCCGGAGCCTGCATAAAACCAGCTGGTGGCGGCGGAATATTTGGGCCTCCCCCGGATCTTAACGGTGGTGGGGGCGGACATGGTGGTGGTGGTGGGGCAGCAGGAGCAGCGGGAGGTGGACATGGAGGCGGACAAGGTGGAGGAACAGGAATCTTTGGAGGTTCTTGTGGTTGCTGTTTGGCAAGATCGGCGATACCAGGCACTAAAATTAATTTTTAAATAAGTTTAATTAGAAAACCAAATTATAATTCTTACGTATCTCAAGGCAACTATTGCAACTAAATGTATTTTAGGATTTTAGAGGTTATAAAAACTTGAAGACAAAGGCGATGAAAACACAATTTTAAAAGAATTATTATTTAAGACATCTTAAAGAATAATTAAAGATCCAAAAAACATTTTGCAACGGTAGTCAGATTAGTCAATTGCTACTCATAGTATTGGCAAGGCCATTGCGACGATGTTGGTGACATTTGTGTTAATTGCGCTAGTATATAGGTGCATTTTTTGTGATAGCAATAAAACAATACAAAATATTACACTGCTTCAATTTGCCAAATAGGGGAAGGGTGGACAAGTCGACATACTCGAAGGTAAAATCGATTTATTTTGAAAAATATAAAAGGTATTATGAATTAAAAAGCGCCATAATACAAACAGAACATTCTTTTTATTATTTATTACGTGAAAAACAAAAACAGAACTCAATTATGTAAATGTAAAACAAAAAAGAGTACAAATGTCATCTTGCCTTACCCTAGAGGGCAAGATGGATTTATACATAAAGTGATCAATTATCAAAACATAATTTACAAATAAAGTTCTTAGGCTTCATTGACAGTCCTGCACACTCTGCATGAGCCCACATTTGACACTTTTGGCAACGTAAACAGCCTTTTTGAGATTTGGATAGGCTATATAACTCATTGCAATAGAGGCATGCGCAATCATCGTCGTCGTCCTCATTAAAGGGCTCTTCACAGTTTGATTTTTTTTGCATAGATTTTAACTTCCGTACTTCGTTCACTTTTTCTTAATTTTTCGGTTCTCATATCTTGATAATCTTTTTGAGTGTCTTTATCTCCTCATTCTAAGGTACCGTCAAACACATTTTTCTTTACTGGGTTTTGCTTATTCTCTCTTACCTCTCTCGATTTCTTAATATTCTCTTGTTCGCGAAGACTCTGGAGGTATGGACTCGTGGTAAGAACATCTTGGTAACTATTGGCCTTTCTTCTTCTGAACTTTCTTGCATTTCCTTGAGGAAGAGGTGAAATTTGCAACAAAACGTTTATGACGTTATTAGCTGAAGACTCTACATTTTCATGTGGCTTTGTATTTACTGTTGTAGATGACTGCGGATCTTCTTCATTCAAATGTTCTGCTGCAGGCTGGGCAAATACATGTGTTCTGGAAATATCTGGTTTTATTGTAGGCGGAAAAAAAAGCGACGCGACCTGGTAAAGAGTGATGACACGACTTGGATTTTCCGTCAACCACTGAGTTGCTGCTACATCATAGTACTTACTTAGTGGCCCGAAAAAGCATACATCGAGAGGTCGGAGACGATGTGTGCAATGTGAAGGCAAGCAAAATGGCACCACTGAATTGTTTTTTGTAAGTTCTAATGCTTCTAAATTTTTATGGCTGATATGCCCGTCTAAAATTAGCAGGGCTTTGTGTTTGGTCGAACATGTTTAATAAAGTGTTCCATGCATTTTAAAAACAGTTCCCCGGTCATGTAACCTGATTCATAGTGCAAACATAAGGTCCCAAGGGGCGCTCCGTCGTATAATGTTGGATTGAATTTCTTCCGAGAAAAAATTATAGCAGGTGGAATATAAGTTCCCCCTGAACTCATGCACTGCTACTACAGCTGAATGTACTCCCCTTTCCCCGCTGGTGATGGCACTTACTTGTTTCTTTCTTTTTAGCGCAAACATTTTAGACGTATTTTGTACAGTTGTCAACCCTGACTCGTCCATGTTAAAAATACTTTTGTCGATTTCTTCATTATTTATTACGTTACGTAGATTTTTAAAAAAGGTCTTTACTTGTTGTTTGTTAAAACTTTCAGCGCGAGTCACTGATATTGCCTCTGGCTGTCGTAAAGATATATTCGGATGCCTTAGTCGAAAAGAGCGTAGCCAACCTCTGCCTGCAATGTTTTTCGTGTTATTGAATTGATGTTTTAACTTCATTCTCACTGCAAATTCATATACCAAAATGCGGATATCTAAGGTCGTTAAGCCAAAAATCTGGCTTACATTTGCTCCACTAGAGGCTCTTCTAGTTCTCGATTTAAGGTTGTTTCATGTCTGCCAAGATGCTTTCTTGTACCAACTGCTATTTTATTTCGATTCATTGCACGGCGGCGAAGTTTTGCCTGGGACACTTGGTAATGCCTGCTAGCCTTTAACCAACCCATGCGCTTTTCCGCTACAGCCTGCAACGCTCGCTCCATGTTCTTTTCATTCCATGCCCCTTTATTGGTTTTTCTTTTATAATTAGAAACCATCTGTAAATAAAAACAGCAGTTGCAAATATTATGTCATCAATACCAATGGCGGATCTATGGGGGCGGGGAGAGCAATGGGGATAATTACTCCCCCCAGACAGGTCCCACCATAATTTAAATGAATAGAAAAAACTGGATAAAAATACTATAGGTAAGAGCTTAAAAATATACTAAAAAAATATATAGGTACCCATGTTTTTAATTCTATATTAATAGTAAGTACCCAAAACATTAGTTGAGAATATTATTTTAAAGGAGTTTTGGGTAAAAGTTGGGTCCAGAGTGTTTTACCCTGCCCCAGAAATATTTCATAGATCCATCCTTTAGAGGGCAAGATGACACAGCTATATATCAACTTGCCCGCTGGCGCGTGTGACATAACATGAAAACATGGTCGGTTAAAATAGAACTTAAGAGCAGTTGCAATATCCTAAGGTAAAGCTTAGGAACACCCTTTTTATCTTTAAAATAAATCATGACAAGAAATGCTACGATGGCATAAATATATAACGAAACATATGGTACATTGGACCAACACACAACAATGACAAAAAAACTATCAAACGACTGAACGAATAATGGCTATGTCAACTTCCTTCCCTTATTTCTTTTGATATTATCTTTTACTAATCATTCTGGTTAAAACAAAAGGTATTAAACAATTAAAAAATAATTCATTTTAAAGAAATATTGCATCAAGTGGCTGCGTGAAATACCTAAACTTGATACTAGCTTTATATATATATATATATATATATATATATATATATATATATATATATATATATATATATATATATCAAAATCTTAAAGACTTAAAATACTAGGTTTATATCTATTATATAAGAAAATGAAAAAAAGAAGTGTTCCGCAAAATTGGAAACGACCAAAACTTTATTCGCAAAATTAATAAAAGAAAGATCAGCTGTTTGTAACATCGATTAAGAAATAAAAAATATGAAATTGCCCAGTTGATTTAGGGCAAAATAAAAGGGGGATTTTTGTACGGTAACCTTCTGGTTTCTTAAACCAATAAGAGTCGATACTGAGTTACGGCCGGCACAAGGTAAGAAGGTTGGAATACACAAAATGTTCTGGCTTCAAAACATTAAGAATTCAAGACGAATAACCATGAGCTGTGATTAAATTTGTTAAATGTGAGAATATTATTCTGGGGTAACCTTGCATTCCCCTAATAATAATTCGTTTTATGTTTTCACAGTTTCATGTGTTAAATATATTTAATTGATGTTAAATTAATTGATTGAATTATATGAAATATACTGTTGACAATAAACCACCAAATATAAAATAAACTCCCCCACGTCTCAGTTTCCAGACTGGAAGTGCCACAAGGAACCGGTAGCAAGAACAAAAATTAATCGTTAAAAGTAACAATATAAAGTTTAGCTGTGTTATAAGAGCAAACACATTACAGAATAGGTAATAGCAAACGTAAGAAGCTCTTTAAAGACAGATTAACAGAGGAAGCTGGAAGCTTTACTAATTTGCCACTTTTAATAACAATAACAGTGATAAAAGCTTACTTGATGTGCCCCTGGGTATACTGCCCATAGTTTCCAGCTCTGCCATTTTGGATTCAAACATCGACTGTCTATTTTTCGACTCTTGTTCATGATGTTGTACCACCCTCCTAAGAGTCGACACTTCTTCATCCGCTTTCTTTTTCACTTCGACTAGTTCGTCCCTCTCTTGCCTTACTTGAATCAATTCTGTTTCCAGACTAGCAATGTTTTCTAATGCCCTATGTTCAATATCTTGAAGTCGTTCGTGTAACTAAAAACAATTGATATTATTGGCCAAACTGAAGTTAGTGGAAAAAATTAACAAACAATCGGAAACATTGTCTTGATGTAAAATTATATATCATACATAGTACCACACCTTCAAGAGAATATAATATACAGCAAGAATCATGAAATGGTGCTTAAATGAAAACTTAAATGTTCTAAGCGAAAATACAAAATTAAAGAGCTGTACACAAAAACCAAAAAGTTTTTGAGGTATTGAGGGGAAATTTTTATAAAAGGTAAGAATAAAATTTTGGGGAAAAAAGTGTTAAAAATAGAATATGACAAAAATAAAAAGGATCTTAAATTACTAGCTTCAACGAAAGTAGATTGAAGAGCTAAAAATCTAAATGCTAGATCACGTTAAGAAGCATTCAAATGAAGATAAAGAAGGATTCCGAATTACTAATACACAAAAAAAAATTTAAAAAAATTAGTGATGAAGTAGCAAAAAAGAAATAAATTTCTTTGTCATTAAGAAAAGTCGGATACACAAAACAACTTTAAATAAGATAATGTCAATAATGTTGATAAAATAATTCAATATTATAGGTGTTACCTGAGCCACTTCATCTTCTAATTCGCCAACTTTTTCTAGTGCTGCTGTTTTGGTCTCACTATCTTCCATCAGGGCAGCAACATCAAAAACATTGTCCAAAAATGCGGAGATTTGAACCTGCAATTCCTCGCTTTCGGTAAATCGCAACTTTTCTAGATAATTATCAAGTCCTAAGGCAGTAAATTCATATTGGAGATGGACCCTGAAATTCATATCTTCTACCGAATGTACTATAATATTTACAAATTGCATACACGCCACCTAAAAACAAAAACTTTTAAAGTATTCAATACTAGGCAAATTTTATCAGTAATCATTACTTGCATAAAATATATTAAAATAAATATCAAAATAAAGTGATTAATTTGGAAATATTTCATAACACTTATATTATAAAATATTATTATTTGCTATTTCTGTTGGAAATTAGACACAATTTTAGTTCAAAATGTGTTCCATTTTCACGTTCGGATTTCATCTCCGGAAATCGTTCTCGAAATGCAAATTAAACTGAAATTCTGGTTAACTCCTAGTAAAAATAGTAAATGATATTAAAATGCCACAAGAATATAGCTACATAACGATATAACATATTATTCGAATGGTTACTAAGCAGTATAATTTATATATGACACCAATCATTCTTTCACCAAAATGGAATAGGGAAGCAGCTATGAATTTGCACGGTCAGGGACATTGGAAAAAAATTCAATTAAAGTTCTATAGCAGAAAAGTATTGGTTTCTGTGAGACTGGCAACGGAAACTAGCTTGGGGTTATTGGAAGAAATTTAATAAATGTTCTACACCAGAAAAGCATTGGTTTCGGTGAAACTGGCAACGGGAAACTACTTCATTAAACTTTATAAGAAAAATCATCACCATTGCTAGAAAAACTACCTACGGGTCATAGTTGCCGGCAGACCTCAAATGTTCGAAGAGTTTCGAAGAGAAGAAACTCGTGTTTCTTAGCACTCTTCATGAAGCTCCTCATGACATTTAGAAAAAGTCATTAGGAGGAAAGCGGGTAGTAATGTATGTTTGGAGCTTGAAAAATCTACAATATTCTAAAAGGAAAATCCTATAAATTAGTGAAATGCGATGGCCAAATTCAGGTTGGGCCCATCGGCTCACCAGGTGTTCTATGCAGGTAACTACAACAATTACTATAAATTGTTAAAGATAAGGTAAAAGTATCGAACAAAGCTTTTGCTCGTACATCTAACAGAGTAATTCTACTACAATTGAATTGATATCCATTTATTTTCAATATGATTAATGCAAAAACGTGTGACTATCCTGACAAAGATCGAGAATTACTCAACTCGGCAACTACTCTAGTAAACAAATCCGTCATTACCGTAGTTGGAAATATCCAGAGAGAAGATATAGACGGTAAGTACGGGCTTAGTGTACAGAATGAAAGTTGCAATCTAGGTCCATACTAAACAACCATAAAAGCAGAGAAGCAATTACACAAATGATCAATGAAAAGCTACATAATACTGATTACAACAAAGAAACTGTTAAATTAGCATAACTGTGACCAACAAAAAACTCATAAAACATGAAACACAGACTTAAAAGAATATATTCAATGACAAACGAAATCTTTGAGCTTACGGGAGACTTTTGGAGTTTTTAGACTGGTGAAAAATAAAAATCAAGAAAAGTATGCTAAACTGCATAGGGAAATTATCAGCAAATGGAAGACTATCAATATACAGAATGCAATAAGCTTGTGAAGAATTTGATATAACTGAACTATATGTGGAATATGCAATGCGCCTTGCCAAAACTACTAAGGCTCCGGAGCATGACCAAATACATTCCGATCTGCTAAAGCTACTTCTAGAAGAAAAATCATTTAATGTTATGGTAAAATTCCTAAAGATTCGTTGATTTCTACTTTGTGATACTACCTAAAAAGCAAAATATCAAGTATTGTAGCCAATACCACATAATCAGTCGTATGAGTCATGTTTTAAAAATATTTTTGAAAATTATTTATGTCGTATTTACAGAAAATCGAAAAGAAGATAGACAATACAGCAATTCACAATTTAATTTTCTTTAATTATAATAAGTGTTAATAAATGGTAAGAGTAATGAATGATGAGTGAACAGGCAAAAAGTCTACCTTTCCCAAATTTTTGTTCATTTCTTTTTATTGTCTTACATATTTGTTCGAATACAACAAATAGCACCATTGTCCATTTTTTATTTTGGGTGTTCTCGGACTGTATTTCTCATAAAAACAATTGCTCCCATTAAACCATTGATTTTCTCCGATCATCAATTTTTTGGCATTCACTTTTGCTTCCCTTTTTCTGAATAGGTCATATTAGAGCCGCAGTCAACTCTTTAGGGATTTTAGTCTTCGTAAATGGGTATATTTATTTAAAAAACGCTTAAAAGGGCTACATCAATAAAACAAACGTTTTCGGACCACACAATCCATCATCAGGTATTAAAATCGAAAAAATGCCTAAAAATAAGTATAAACCATTTAGTTAAAACAAACGTGATTATGAAATTTTGACTATGGTTGAAAAGCAAAAGATGGTTATACTTACTAGGTCACAATGCTTGAGCCACCAAAATACTAGGGTAAAAACCCTTTAAATTACATTTAGTTATAAAAGATTATACATTGTGTTGTAAAATAACTGTGATGTTCAGTATTAAATTAAATTTGGCTACAGGTAACACATGGCTGAAGCGAGTTCCAGAGCCGGTGAGAGAACCTCTACTACAGCGGTCGGGGAACCGGAGTAAATTACCCCAAATGGGGTAAAAATGAAATTTTTGGGGGTAAAAATGAAACTTGTGAGCAAAAAGTATATATTTTAATTTGATTTTTTATAAACCTGTTTTGCATGCACCGAAATTTTTTTGTATTATTTGTGAAAGATAAATTACATTTTCCTACTATCCTTTGTAAATTTTTTATACGCCCTGGGAGGGCATATAAAGACTGCTCAGTCCGTGCCGTGCAGTCAGAATACAAATAAATTGACGAGCCAGAGAGTTATAGTTAGTTGCTGACAATCATTAACCATCGATATATCGATCAAGGTAAGCCGCAATTTGAAAATTTAATTTAAGTATTTTACAACTATTATTTTCTGTCTCCTTCAGATGGCAGCAAATAGAAAAAGAAAATATCAAGACGAATTCCTTAATTACGGTTTTACACAAATAGAAGACAATGGTACAATCAAACCACAGTGTGTTGTATGTATGAAGGTATTGACTCCAGAATCTTTCAAAAAAAGTCAACTGAAGAAACATTTACATAATTTGCATTCACACCTGTCTTCCAAACCGCGAGAACACTTTGCAAATTTAGAAATATCTGTTAAAAGACGAAGATTGAATAGCAACTTGTTTGGTACATTTGATCAGCGAATTTCTATATTAGCAGAAAATGTGAAGGAACAAGTCATCAAAGAACAAGTCTCATTAAAACAGACTAAATATTTTGCTATTCAGCTTCATGAGATAACTGATTTTAGTAACAATTCACAGCTAATGGTATATGTTCGCTACAAAGGTGCAGATAATTTTGAAGAGAAATTGCTGTTTTGTTCTCATCTCGAGTTAAGATCTCGTGGAATTGATGTCTACAATAAAGTAAATGAATACTTCAATGCGCAAAGTTTAAAATGGGAAAACTGTATTTCAGTATCTTTGGATGGAGCTCCAGCTATTCTGGGCCAAATTAATAGTTTTTCGGCTTTCGTAAAAATATATAACCCAAATATTGAAGTTATTCACTCTATGATCCATCGCCAGGCCCTTATTTTTTATATCTTATTATTGTTATCTATTATTATGTTATGTATTTCTAGGTATCATAGAAATTGAATAAATGATGTTTATTTTATGTTTTAGTTATTGTTTTCTGTTCAAAACTATCATGGGGGCTATAATATGAATGATGCTAAAAAGAGGCCTTTTTTTGCTTTTTGCCTTGGGTAATATCAACTTACACAAAAATGTTTTGGGGTAATGATTAAAAAAGTTCCCCGACCGCTGCTCTACTAGAACCGGCTCTGGAACTCGCTTCAGTTATGTGTTACCTCTAGCCAAATTTAATTTAATACTGAACATCACAGTTATTTTAGAACACAATGTATAATCTTTTATAACTAAATGTAATTTAAAGGGTTTTTACCCTAGTATTTTGGTGGCTCAGGCATTGTGACCTAGTAAGTATAACCATCTTTTGCTTTTCAACCATAGTCAAAATTTCATAATCACGTTTGTTTTAACTAAATGGTTTATACTTATTTTTAGTCATTTTTTCGATTTTAAAACCTGATGATGGACTGTGTGGTCCGAAAACGTTTGTTTTATTGATGTAGCCCTTTTAAAGGTTTTTTAAATAAATATACCCATTTACGAAGACTAACCTCTTTTTTGTGATACGTGGTATACAGCCAGCTACAGGAATTTTTCCTTGTGGATTTTCTTTAGGGATTTATTATTTTTTCCATATTGAAGCATGTTCGTTCAATCATCCCCCAAATTCTTCCCAAATTTTTGCCCTCACAAAATTCTTTTGGCTATGCTCATGGCTAACCAATCCTTAGAAGAATTATGCTATGCTTTCGAATTCACATATAGAGAGCAAGTTCTCTTATGATCCTTTCCCTTCTCAGAAACAAGATATAGCTTATGTGTTTTGTCTCTCAACTAACCCTTCACTTCTAAGAAACGGTATAATTCTCTGGATTTCTAAAAAACCTCCGAAAATCAATTTAGTCCCTTTCATCCGAGTCGCTCCTTAATTCTAAAGTATAATTAGGGCCAATAATAAAGGTTTGCATATTTGCATATATTACGCATATTATTTTTTGCATATTTGCGCAACTTTTGTGCATATATATGCGCTTATTTTCTCTGTTTTCTGTTGCATATATTCCGGTCTCTAATATATCCTTATAACATTAGCTATTCGTAAGACCATCATGATGCTTTAGAACTTAGTATTTTGGTAGCTCTACGAACTGTATTCATTTCAAAAAGTTAATACTTAAAATGAAAGATCTAAAATTTGCTAAATTTTTTGCAAAAGCTTTTTCAGAGACTAAATATGAAAATTATAAATCGTAGTCAACACTAACCATAATCAAAAAAATATACAGTTTGGTCGGTTAGTATCCAAAAAGTGTATACTCTATATATACACACCATTTCTAAGACGTAATATTTATTTGTTAACCAATTTTACTTACCATAAATTCGATGTGGAAGGCCTCGAAGTTCAAAAAATAATCCATAAGAGTTTGAAACCTGTACCTTTCATGACAAACTTCTTTAAAATTATCGAAGGCGGATAATATTATCTCGTGACCACCCTTTACAAGACAAATGGCAGCTAGGAGCTCTAAAACTAGGGCTTTAGTACGTAAACTTTTGTGAATAAGACTTAATGATATGCAATTGATAGCTTCTCGATGCTGGATAACCATATTGAAACCATACTGCAAAAAAAAACGCAAAAATGAATACCAAAGATAACAAACTAGTGTGAATTAAAAAAATGTACATATAATTGTACTTCTTATGTATTAAATACGTTATTCTTGAAAGTTATAATGGTTCTAGAAAAAAAGTTACGAGAAAAAGATAAACAGCAAAAATAAAATATTTACCTTATTGTTCATAATGGCCCTCATACACATGATGCAAACGTGAATATCATCTTTGGAGTCGCCCATATTCAGCTTTGCAACATGCTTCGATCGCCTCTTTACGTTGGGACTATCCTGAATATCCAAAGGAGCTCTGATGTAGCCGTTATTTTTTTCTAATGTCGTTTGAGTATTGTTCAGAGTGTTCTGGCCTGCCGAACTAAGCTTCTCTTCGGAACCCGTTCTAGATTCTGCTATCCTTTGTTCATGTCGCATCATGCCAAGTCGGAAGCTGAGGTAGTCGATTAATACATCCAAACCGAGATTTTCTTCGTTTAAGAATTCTCTTACCCATCTAAAATTAGGAATTGGGTGATTAATATAGTTGTAATTTCAAATTATAATAAAAGTTTTATATCATGAAAATATCCTTAATCGATGGGACGGAATGGGGGAATGTTCTAAAGAAGGCTCGGCTCATAAAGAGCTGTATTGCCAGATGATTATGGTTTTTGAAATAACTTTTAAATATTTAGATAGTCTGAAGTTATGTAACTAGGCTGTAGCTTAAATCTAATTAATGCGGGTTTGGCTGTTTTAATATTAAATTAAAGACATTTGGGAAAATTAAGTCTCTTGAAGCATGTTAAAAATTTTCTTAAATTATTCCCCTTAGATAATTACTTGCACGCCACCCATGGTATATACTTTGCTAAAAACCTTAAAAATAACCCATAAGCAAAGAGCGATTTGTCATGCCTTTTTCTTAACACGAAATAGTTCGCCATATGTTCCTTGCTCTTTTTATCTTTCATTTGTTAAATAGAAACCCTTCCTCTTAACAAGGTAATTAGTTTCTATTGCCGAGCACCCAGCCTACCTTCTAAGAAAAACGGAGATGTTGGTTTTCTATAAAATAATCTTTCTTGTCGAAAGAAAGTAGAAAGGTTAAAAATACGACCATACTTCTTTGTCAATTAAGTATCATTTTCGCGTGGCACTCTTCGGTCAATACTTCCACTCTTTTTTATTCTTAGCTTGTCTAAGTATCAGATATCGAGTTCTTTTTTCGAATTGGTTCCTGTAACAAGCGGTTTGTCTTCATCAAACGGCGACGTCTTCCAATTCGAGGGCACGGAGTCCCTTCTGTTTGCCGTACTTGCTCTTCTTGTTCTTCTGCTTCTCTTTTCTTTCTTCCTGTATCCATTCAGTTCAGTCTAGTTTAGTGTGAGAATTGACTGATACGTTACCTGTGCCTACATTAATTTGATAGATTGCGGAGTGAAGCCACCATAATTCGTTACCTTGCCTAAAGCATTTACGCTGCTTAAGAAGTCCCACTGTACCTGTTGCGAGGACAACGTGTCAAGTGCTTTTATTGAGAGCGTTCTATGAAAGAACGTCATTACCTGTACCTACCTGTTGGCGATTGTATTGTGAGTATCGATATGTTTATTGACTAAAGCTCATCTTCGCTATCTATATCGTTAGGAGTTGATTTATGACTCCAGTTCAGTGCATTTACTTATTTAGGGTTGTTTATGTTGAATCCAACCGATCGGACTCTTATTAGTAGAAAACTACGGTATATATGCGTATGAATTATAGCAGAGTTATTTTATGTGTAGATTATATTTATGATACATTTTATACACATATTTGAGGTGATCACGATCAAAACATTTTAGTGCATTCATGTTTACGTATTCTCAAGACGTAAAAATCACTTATTTGTTTATTTCAAGTTATCACATATTGACGCTAGTTATAATATTCCTTGCCTTTTTCTTATTCTTGAGGATACTATTCACAATTAATTTTCAAAAAGATATTTTTTGTTGTATTTAATAATAAATTGTGCAATAACTTATGTCGTGCCATTTAACTGTTCAGTAAAAATTGTTATACATTCACTTTATCTATACTTCAATACAATCTTGTTGTTGATGAACTATTTGCCTTTTATTTTTTTATTATGTCTATAAATGTATTGAAGTTATACTTCTATATACACGGTCGGCGTCGGAAATTTGCATGAGAGTGAATCTGTGAAACCATTACATATGTAAGATAATGAGTAAGAGAGAGGCAGAAGATATATTTTCTCTCTCTTCCTCTCTCGAGAATAAAAATATTCCTTTTTTGTAGTTATAATATTTAATATTATATATATATATATATATATATATATATATATATATATATATATTTGCTTCATACGCTGGTGTTTGTGAGTTCGAATCCCAATTTGAAATATTTAAAAACCTCACATTAACCTTATTAAATATATGTAATATACGCAAAACTGCTAAATTTTAAAATAAAATGAAAATTTACAACCTAATCCGAGTTGTTGGTTTTTTATTTTTATCTTCGTAAAGTAAGTTATGTATATTGGCAGTTTTAAATACTTATGAATTTTGCATTTTAATTTATATTGTATTATTATATTGAATTATGTTGCACTGTATTTATTTAATTGTAATTTTTATATTAATAACAAAATAAACAATGAATTTTACTGCAGAGTATGTGTAAAAAAATTTTTTTGCATTCAACTAATTTTATACATATATGAAAATAAAAATATATATTTTTATTAAAATATTGATACAATCCTTCATTTACTATACTCCTATTACAGGTCAAATGTTTATATACAGCAAACGATGCACCATATACCTATATAACTAATTATTTTTCTCTTTCTGCTCTCTCTTACCTATAACATTACATATTTAATGATTGTGCAGATTGACTCTGATATAAATTTTTAACGGCAAACGCGTGTGTAGAAGTATAACTTCTACCTGCAGTCCCACTGGACAAAAACAGTTTCTGAGAAAAATATGGACTAAAAATGAATATAAAAAAGACCAAATACATGATAATAACAAAGAAAACAAATATACCAACAAACATACATTTGGGAAATGTACCGATAAAAAGGGTTGATAAATACAAATACCTAAGAACTTGGATTTCAGACAATAATAATCAAACAACCGAAATAAGAGCTAGGATAGAAATAGCAAGAAATGCGTTTGTAAATAAGAAAACAATTCTCTGCAACAAAGATCTTAGATTAGAACTGAGAGTAAGAGCACTGAGATGCTACGTGTTTTCGATACATATAAATAAGTTACAGTCCTTTGAAATGTGGTGTTACAGGAGGATGCTTAGAATAGCATGGACACAGAAGAAAACTAACACGGAAGTATTGCGAGAAATGGGCGAAGAATGCGAAATAATAAACACAATAAAAATAAGAAAGTTACAATATCTAGGACATGTAATGAAGGGACAGCGATATGAACTCTGTTAAAGCTGATAATACAGGGAAAGATAAGAGGAGGAAGGAGTATAGGAAGAAGGAGAGTGTCATGGTTGAAGAATTTAAGGGACTGGTTTAAATGCAGTTCTATAGAACTCTTCAGAGCAGCAGTAGATAAAGTAAAGATAGTGATGAGATGATGATATCCAACTTCCGATTGGGAGACGGCACTTAAAGAAGAAGAATGGTTTAAAGATTTGTAGTCACAAACATTAAATTTAGTATTTTCTTAAAACAAAGATAACGTGACATTCCTTGTTTTTTCCCTTAACTCTTCAATTATAAACAATTGAAAAAATTCTTACTTTCAGCTTTACTTTGCAATAACTTTTTGATTATAAACATTTTTTAATTTTAAAAATATCACTTTAAAGAGCAAGTATTTTGAAGACACTCGTCTGTTGAACGTGTTTATCTAGAATGCGTAGTTTTTTCACAATATTGAAATTAATGATGACTGGCAATGAAGCTCAGTATCTGAATGTTTTTTGCTTTTATTAAGCAGCACAAGTACCTATTAGGTTTATTAATTAGTGTTGTCTACTTTACCAACAAGTCAAACAACTTAACAAGAAGTCAAATCTAGTCAAGCTCCTTAAATGTAGGTAGCTACGCAATTTATTGTGTCTCTTACATTTTTTTTTGTCTATCCGCAGCAATTGTTTGATAATTTATTTATATATTTTTTTTATTCTACACTCTTCACTTTAACGACACTTTGACATAAAATAATAACAAAAATTTACTACTAAGTTACAGTGAAATAATTTTATAGTTCTTGTAACAATACATCCTTCAGTTGTGTAAATGAAATATAGTTAAACGTAATAATTAAAGTTATTACGTTCTCGCTTTTCTGGTAATTGTTTAAGGAGTTGGCTTGTGTTTATAGTTATATGTTTTTAGCTATAAATAATTTAAATAGAGATTTTAAACAGAACATAAAACTGACAAAACAAAAACAACATATATTGTAATCCAATATCTTTATTCCATATTTAACCCTAGAACAGCACAGTTCGTTCATCTAACATAGACTGCACAGTGGGGTCTCGAAAACCCTAATTGTTTTTTTTTAGTAATAAATGTTATGAATTTTTTTTCTGCGGTATGTAGTACAAAACAACAAACAACAATATCTTATTTTCAAAATATATTTATTAAAAAAAAACATTTCTCATTAGATCTGATAAACGTGGAAAAACATAAACTAGTGCTTTTATTACACTTTATTGAAAATATGGAGATACGACCAAAAAAATTAAACAAAATTCCAGTGAAATAAAACTTTTCTCTTAAAAGCCCTTTAAACTAAAATAAAATATAAATGTTGTTACAAGATAATTATTTCTTACTCTTAGCCAGGCACTTCAACTTTGGTTCTGACACATATAACATAATTGAGCCCGATGTTCTAAACAGTACGGTTTGTGGCACAACGAACAAGCAGAACTCGTTTTTCGATCCCTTCCACGAGGACAAAAGCAGCATCTAACCTTTTTAGGCAAACTAACATCAAAATTATCTCTTTGAGGTACACCAACTCCTAATATTTCGCTAATTTTTACACGTAGGGTTGTTGGCAAATTGGTAACTTGTAGTCTTTCCCTTAAGTGCGGTTCAATTAATGCAGTTGAAAGTTCTTTTAAAAATGTTTTTCTATCGTGTTTTCGGTCATCTTTCCATTGGGGATTTGCAAGTGAAAATAGAACCATAGCATTTATTCCGCTAGCATCCAACATATTGAAAAACATTCTGAGAGGCCAGCGTCTAGTTTTACGGGAAGTCGTGTAAGAGTGGCACATCTGATCAAAGGTGTCTGTGCCACCCTTTGTTTCATTGTAGGAATGTACAAGATTTGGTTTTCCGGTCAAGGTATTAAGTGATGAATCAGGATGCAAAGTTGATAAAAGTAGTACCACTTTATTTTCCTTTGGAGTGTACGAAACTAGCGTTTTGTTTCTGTCGAAAGCAAATATGGATGTGCCTACATCTTTTTTTTGTGTAAACTTCGGAGGTAT